TCCGGTCCCCCGGTCCCCGACGCCGGCCCCCGCACTCACCTCCCGCCGCCGCCGCGTCCCGCTCCGGCCGAGTGACCCTGCCGGGAGCCTTCGGGATTTGCATAACCACGCCCACATTTGATTAGCATAGACACGCCCCCCACCCCTCCGCGCGCGGGAAGACGGCGGGAAGTCTCGCGCGGCGCAGGGCGGGAAAGGGTTGGAGGAGGAGGAGGGGTTTGCGGGGTGTAGGGGCCTGGAGCGAGGTTTTGGGGGGGTGGAAGGGGGTGCAGCGGGGTTTTGGGGTACTGGGGGCATGGAACAGGGTTATGGGGTGCTGCGGGGGTCTGGAGCAGCGTTTTGGGGTGCTGGGGGACATGGAGCAGGGCTTTTGGGGTGCTGGGGGATCTGGAGCAGGGCTTTGGGGTGCTGGAAGGGGCTGGAGCAGGGCTTTGGGGTGCTGGGGGGTCTGGAGCAGGGCTTTCGAGGGCTGGAAGGGGCTGGAGCAGGGTTTTGGGGTGCTGTGGGGGTCCGGAGCAGGGCTTTGGGGTGCTGGAGGGGCCAGGAGTACGGCTGAGTGTGCTGTGGGGCCATGCAGATGGGTTTTGGGGTGCTGGGGGGACCTGGAGCCAAGCTTTGGGGTGCTGCAGGGGTGTGGAGCAGGGTTTTGAGGTGCTGGAAGGGGCATGGAACAGGGCTTTGGGGTGCTGCAGGGGTCCGGAGCAGGGCTTTGGGGTGCTGGGGGGTCCAGAGCAGAGCTTTGGGGTGCTGGAGGGGGCCAGTAGCATGGCTGAGTGTGCCGTGGGGCCATGCAGCTGGGTTTTGGGGTGCTGTGGGGGGAACTGGAGCTGGGTTTTGGGGCGCTCTGGGGGTCTGGAGCAGGGCTTTGGGGTGCTGCAAGTGCCTGGAGCAGGTCCTTGGGGTGCTATGGGGGACAGAAGCAGGGCTGGGGGTGCTGGGGGGGGCCTGGAGCCAGGTTTTGGGGTGCTGTGGGGGCCGCCAGGCCAGGGGAGGCCGGGGCCACGCCGCAGGCCTGCAGCACGCACGCAGGACGTGCAATTTTCTCTATCTCATCGGAGCACGGGGGATGCGCGGATCGGGTTTATCGCAGGGGTTCCGCAGCTCCCACGCGATCACGTCGTCTCCTCGGCTCGCTGCAGCGCGTAAACCCAGGCCGCGCATCTCTCCTCCCTCCCCCAGCACCGGGAGCAAGGGCGAGCTGAAGGGATTCGGGATTCCAGCAGGGCTACAAACACCGGCACCCGAACCTCACTTCCCCAGTAACTGGAAGTCTCCCAGTTCTTTCGAGTGTCCGTGCTTCCCTCGCTCCTCTCGCGCAAAGGCCGGGCTGCAGCAGCCCGCACCGTAAGCGATTTCATCGCGAGTTTGCTTCTGCCTTCGCCGCGCGCTCAGCTGCGCGCTTATGCAACCGCACCCAGCTCGTTCTGTCACCGGCAGAAATACGAGACTCCATTTCTGTAAAAAATCTGGCTTTTATTCAGATATTGTTCCCTTCCAGAATATGCACCCAGGTAGGTACTAGAAGAGGAAAAAAGAGGAAAAAAAAAAAAAAAAAGGAGGAAAAGGAGCTAGAAGGCGGGCCTGTTTTGTTATTGGAGACCTTGGGGAGACATCGTCCGCTCTTTTCATCGTTACTGTACGCCAGTAGAAAGCAGACAGCAGAAAATCTCTGTTGATTCAGTTCTTTTCAGGAGCTGGGCTTCTGTGCGTGAAAAGCCGTCGTGCCGTAAAGCGTGAAGGCAGGGCAGCTCCTGCGGGTAGCTCCGCACCGTTTTTTTGGTGACAAGGACATGCTATTCCTCACAAGTGCTGTTTTAAAACTGCCTCTCAGCAAAACTCGTGGGTTTTACTTAAACGTACCTAAACCTTTCCTCAAGTTCCCTTCGCCAGAGCTCGGTTAAGTTCAAATATTAGGTTTATTAGTCTTCAAAAAGATCAGTCAAATAATAAAGCTTTTTTCCCCAAAAGTAGCCTATTCTAATAGATACTTTCTCGAAGAGAAAGGAAAGGCATCAAAACTAAGAAGTAAAGTATAAAAGAACAAACCCATAGGAGGACTCGGAATACAAACAGCTTGTTTCAACCCATCTTTCTTGAAGGCGATATTTTAAAAACCCCAGCTGCGAGGCTGGCCGCCCCAGGTGGGGAGGTCCTGCCCCGCCGCCCTCCTGCAGCCCATCAGCGGGGCGGCGGTCCGCAGCTCTGGAATGCCCGTCCAAGGCTCAAGAGGGACCTCTGATGTAAACAGTCCGTTCCAGCTGGAAAAAACGGACCCAGCGCAATCCACCGCTCTGTTCTACCCCATTTAAACTGGCTGCAATCAGCAACCTGCCTGCAGGAACTGCAGCTCTGCAAAGGAGGGAAAGGAGGCGAGAGCCGCAGATCTGCCGGTGCCCACTGCTGACCTGCAACAAACGTCGCTCCATACGGCCGCCTTTTACCATCCCGATACACATTTTAGCCATTAATTTCGCTTCAGATTTTTAAATGAAATTCCTCTTGGTCTCCCAGGGCTTTAAAGACACAAACCAAGCACTTTTGGTATTTAGTTTACGTCTTAAGTGCTGTGGAGTTTTTTGATTTAGGCTGATTTGGGGGAGAAAGTCAGCCGAGTGGACGACTGGTTCTTGTGGTCCTGTACTGCTGCAGAGGACTGGTACGGTCGAAAGACACGGTATCGCTGTCACAGCTACAGCAGCAAGAGAAGGCACAGCCAGAATGCAAGAAAATGAAGGAAAAAACCAAGTCACTTGGATAAAAAGCTCAAATGTTCAGCTTCCAAGCCTCCTGACATCATGATGTAGATTCTAAATCCCAGAGGGGTAATGATCTACTTGATTCAGCCCCCGACTTGGTTTAATGAGCTGATTCAACAGTCTCTCAAGTTCTCCCGGCCAGCTTCTGTACTGCGCATCTGACGTTTCTGTTTTCCTCTACTTCAGAGCCAACCCAGCATGAAAAGTCCAGTCCCATCAGTGTCTTCAGAGCGCGGGGAGGGCGCCAAGCCCCTGTGCACGGGGAGGAGTGCTCCTTCCACGAGAAAAGCTGTAGCAGAAATCCTTTACGTACAAGTTAAAGCCGAAAAGGGACGGGCCCCAGAGGAACAGGACAAAGCTCTACTGGAAACAAGAGGGGACACAGCAAGGTTGATTTACAGCATTTATATCCCTCTGAACAAACCCCAGCCCCTGCGCATGTCTCATCAGCAAGCTCAGTTGTCCACCTCTTCCTCATCATTTTGCTCTTCTTCCTCCATCCTTTCGTCATCATCATCGTTCTCTTCCTCTCGGCTCTTATCTTGCTCCTCTGAGTCTGCCTTCTTGTCTTTATCTTTCCTTGCTTCTTTCTTCCCTTTCTGTTCACGCCTGTAAACTACAAAAGAAAACGAGAATGCTGATAAATTGCAAGGCAGTGTTTCGGCGGCAGGAAGAGTACAGTAGCTGAAGTCCAACATCCACTCGCTCTCCAGGCTTACGAGGGGAGCAGTGAACTCATAGCAGCAACTCACCCCGTTATCTGAGCTGTGCTGACCAGCTCCATAGGAAATCAGGTTAAGTTTCAGCAGAAAAATGCTGAAAAGGACGCAGGAGTTCACATTTACAGGCAGCGTCTAAGACTTTCCTTAGATAAACATAAGAGGGGAGTGATAGCAGATGAGATTTTCCCAATCCTCATCAGTTGTGAAATAATGTTATCCCAGTCCTGTTAAGGTGCACATTATTTATCCCCCAGGCAAACTGCAGTGTAGGATGCTGGGCAAAGAGAGAGAAACAAGACAGGCAAGTAAGTGTTGCTTGTCCAGTGTTCGAGGAAAACAGGACTTGGTGCTGCTTAGACTCCCTCGAGACGAACTGAGGACGATACCTTCCAGTGATTCTTTCAAAGGGGCTACAAATCGCTGAAACTCCATTTCCTCCATGGCAGAGAGAACATCGCCAGCGTTCAGCGTTTTCCTCTTCCCCTTCATGGCGAAGTTATTTGCACTAGTAAAAAACAAGAACGAAAACAGAGTTAATTGGTACTGCCATCAATTTAGTCTTGTTTATTAAAGTCACAAGCAACTTCAAGGAAAAAAAAAAGCCATCTCCTAAACATCCAGGGTTTTTTAATCACTTAAGAACAGTAGTTTAAGATACCTTCTTGTTTACATTGTTTGTGGGAAAGCAATGCAACTAGATGAAAGCACAACGTTAGTTTCTGCTTGCATGGGCCTTTTCTACAACGGGGTGGGAGGAGAAAGCCTGAACATTGGCTGTGAGGCGACAATTCCACAAAGCCGTGCGAGTACCTGACACCAGAGAAGCGACTGCGGGCACACACGTTCTGAGCCACCCCAAAGACGTTACCGCGTCCTCTTTGACCAGCTCCAAGGCTGGCTAGGTTGGCTCACGCCTGCCCTAACGCAGCCGTGTGGTGAGGAGCTTGGAAAGCGAGCAAAGGGCTCTTGTCTTTGCCAGGAAAAGCCAGGCAGCTGTATCCTAAGGCTAATGGCAGTTTGGGACCCCTCTCGTGGGGCTGGGGCATCTCTGTGTACAGAGCCAAGCTGCCTTCCCCACAGCTTGTTGAGGGCAGTCCGAACCCAACTGCTGCAGTCTGGTAGACTGGGCTACGCGAAGGATTGGTTTATTTATGTGAACAGACAATGCCGAAACAAACGCTGGGAAAAAATCTCCACTTCAGCCAGCAGAGAGGTGAATTATAAATCAACTGCACTGGTGATCCGACGCAACGAATTCTTACCATGACGTTGCATACAGCACAAACACACTTGCCGCTCGAGATATTGCGCTCCGAGCTTCTTTGGAAATATTTACTCCATCAGGAAGCTGAAAAAGAAATTCAACTTTTATCAGCAGCTGACTTAAACTTGCATAATTCACGTGTCAGTTCCATTAAGGCACTCAGAGGGCTCAGCACAACTGGAAACCAAACGTTGATCTCGGATGCTGTCACAGAAACTTTGATGCCATCTGAAAGCCAACCGCGATTTGTGCTCTCTCAAACGCAGTAAGCTATGCAGGAGCAAAGCAAGTTCTGGTGGGCCTGGCCACCACCTCTGGGGCAACTGGTCCTATGACTATCGAACTCCTGACACAGCCCAATCACCCTGCCATACCCAGACCCATTCACTGACGGATTCACCGCCAAACAAGTGAATGAGGGGTGTCTCACGGCTCAAGACCAAACACAGCATTAAATTAAGGACTGGGAATGACTCTAGACTTCTATATAGGCAAGGAACGGCTGCTGCTCCGGCGCCGTTTGGGGAGCTGCCTCCGTCGGCCCCACTGCGAGAGCTCCGCTGTCGAGCACCGCTTGGAAGATGGCTGCGGGGCGCCGTCCCTGCGGCACCGCCGGGGCCGCATCTCCCCGCAGGAGGCCTCGGGGACGCAGCCCGGGCGGCGGCCGGATCCCCCCGGGGCCCGGCCACGTTTTGGGCGACAAAACCGCGGCAGCAGCTGCGGGGCCCGGCCGGGGAGAGCCTGCCCCTCCGCAGCCGCCCCCCGCCGCGGCCGGGGCCCCCCGGGGGGGCCGGC